CTTAGAAATGACTTTACACACCGCCTTAAAGAAATAGAGATGTTTATTAGAGGGGAATTCAAAGTTATGGGTGAACTGTTTATGATTAAAATATTTTTGTATATTAATCCACACATATTTATAGGGCTTCTGCTATGAGTACAACATTAGGTGCTATGGACAGAAAGACAGCTTAGGATAGAAGTGAAGTAATCGTAATAGTAATGTGTGTGGTGGTGATCTCGAGGTCTAAGTGAGTCAGAACATCTCATTACTAAAGCAGGGACTGGAGTTCAGCAGTCCTAAGAAGGGACAGATACAAGAGGAGGATTCTTGACCGCCAGCATTTGCCCACCCTTGCTTTGCATTTGGTTCAGATGGCATGGTCTTTAACAGTTCTCCCTAGTAGAGTAGTTAAGGGAGTATTTTCACATACAAAAGTCTCATTGGGTACAAAATAGGTAGGACATATATTATTTCCCACCTATTACAGACAAGAAAATGAGCTCCGCAATAGTAAAGCTGCTGGGGATCACAATGAATGGATGGCAAAATTAGAAGCTGAAACGGGTTCCCCAAGTTCTCATGTGTGCTCTCATCTAAATGAAGCCTTCCCAAAGCACTTCCAAAGTTGGCCTTCCACCCTCACCCTCAAGCTGCCCCAGCCCAGCCACCACCTCCAGACTCCAGCGCTGGAGCGCTTATTCCTTAAACCCTGTCCCATCTGGGACCTCCTACTCCCTTGCATTTCAGCCAGACATGGTTAGAGAAATCTACAGGAACGTTTATTTTAAAAAGGAAGGGAAGGGGCCAGCCCAGTGGCGCAGTGGTTAAGTTTGCATGTTCCACTTTGCCTCAGCCTGGGGTTCGCCGGTTCGGATCCTGAGTGCGGACATGGCACCGCTTGGCAAAAGCCATGCTGTGGTAGGCGTCCCACATGTAAAACAGAGGAAGATGGGCAGGGATGTTAGCTCAGGGCCAGTCTTCTGCAGCAAAAAAAAAAAAAAAAAAAAGAGGAAGATTGGCAGTAGTTAGCTCAGGGCTAATCTTCCTCAAAAAAAAAAAAAAAAGGAAGGGAAGACAAATACAGAGATGTGAAAACAACATACTTAATTGAGTGCAGGTTTCAGTTCACAGTTTGTTTTTCCCAACAGAGCAGATGGGCTCCTTAGGCAATTTTCTTATCCATTTCGGGTCCTTCTTCTCCTCCGCTGGAGGAGGGTTAAACTGAATCTCCAGCCTCTCTGCCAGCAGAGTAATCCATGGAAGGAAGAAGTGATTCACCAGAGTCGTGTATCACATGACTAACCCTCGTCTATCCACATCCAACAGCTTTCATCCCCTCGTGAAAAAATAAGGGAAAACATTCCAAAAATATCCTATGGGAACCTCCTAAACCACATACTCCAATGGAGAAAGGAGTTCTCAGGATGAGGAATATGCAGCACTTGAATCTGTCAGCTGAGTGGCACCTTTTCCCACATTTTGATTTAAAAAAACTTTCCCACTTTCTCCCCTCCATTTCCAAGCAAGATTTCACAGGCTGATGCTGAGGTCCTAAGGTGCTGACAAATCTTTGATATATGAAACAGGGGTCTTCCCTCGCCCACCTCAAGGAGTCTACATGCTTTTGTGCAAATCATTCCATTTGTGTGCAGAAAGAAAGGAAGGGGGACAGTGTAGAGTAATGGTTAAGAGCTGGAGCTCTGAAATCAAATTGCTCTGGAACAGAGTTCCTGCTCTCTTTGCTGGCTGCATGACCCTGGCCAAGTCAGTTACCCTCCCTGAGACCCCATGTCTTCATCTACTTAAAAATTAATTATAATCTTTAAAATTAATAATAGCTAGCATTGATTGAGCACATACTATGTGCTAGGAACTATCTATGCTACTTTTACATGCATTACATGCATTATCTCATTTAATCCTTAGCACAACCCTGTGAAGTGGTGACTATTATCATCCCCATTTTATAGGTAAGAAAATTAAAGCACAAAGAGGTTAAATAGTTTGCCAGAGATTATATGACTGTAAACGAAAACAGAATTCAAAACAAGCAGTCTTCTTCTAAGACCCACGCTTTGAATCGCTACCTTCTTCACAGTGATGTTGTAAAGATTAAACGAGCTCATAAAAGTCAGGTCCCCTGCATAGTGCTGGTTCTTCAACAAGCCTTAGATAAATGTTAGCTGCAGTATTATTTTTAGTGTTGTCATTTGTTCCACGAGATATCTGGGCCAGAAAATAGGTTTTGACATAAGAAATTTTGTGTCTATTCCAGTTAACTGCCCCAACGTATGTGTTTTGCAATTGAACTGACAGGCCTCTGCTATTACCTAAACAATCTGTGTGTTATGGGCTACCCGGTTAAGAGACGGACTAAATGGTTGGTAAGTTGCCCATGCAAAAAAAGTTCTTCATACTGGAAAGAAGTATGAAGTCTCTTATAAAAGAATGGCATACTGAGTAACAGCTAGCAGAACTGTAGGAAGCACCCAGATTATAAATGGATTGTTTCACAAGTTCATTTGTCTATTGTTATAAACTCTGAATACATAGAAATAAGGTTGCAAATGGTGGTTACATTCCAAGACTATTCACAGAAGTCTATTTAGCCCATTTTAAAGCTCAATGATAGAAATCATGCCATTAGCCCAAGGGCAAGCCTAGGCTCATGTGATAAAAGAATAAGAAAAGTGTCTTTCCTGGTACAGAGGAACCTTGATATAGAGATATTCATTATCTATTTCTGTGTAACAAATTATGCCAAAACTTACCATAGTAAGACAATAAACATCATTACCTCACAGTCTATGTGGGCACCTGGGAGTGGATTAGCTGGGTGGTTCTGCTCAGGATGTCTCAAGAGGTTAAGGTCAACTCACCTCGGCTGCAGTCATTTGAAGGCTTAACTAGGGCTGGAGATCCCCTTCCAATATGGCTCACTCACATGGCCATTGGCAGGAGGCCTCAGCTCCTCATCACACGGGCCTTTCCATGGCGCTGCTTCAGTTCCTCATGACACGGTAGCTCTGGCTTTCCCCAGTGCAAGTGACCCAAGAGTGACAACAAGAAGGCAGTTCAATGCCTTTTATGACCTAGTCTTGTAAGTCACACACTATCACTTTTGTCATATTCTATTCATTATAGGCCATATGCTATTCCTTAGGAGCAGCCCACACTCAATAGGAGGGGGAATCTCTTGATCGGAAGCATATCACAGAATTTGTAGACCTATCTTAAAATCACCATGTAGCTTTCATTGTCCCCATCCCTCTCTCCGGGCACCCAGTGATACAAAATAATAAAAATAAATTGGGATTCAGAACTGCAGCCCTTCTCAACAAAGTCTCCTGTGAAGACCCAAAACAATCCATGCTCTTGCCTCAACTTTTCTTGAAAAACATCTATCCCCTTTCCTTAAATGGAATCTTATTTGAAGAATTTATACTAAAGAGAGAGTAATAACACTCCTGAAATCTTTGCTTTATTCATTAGTATCTCTCATTAGAATTTCAGGCAATAAAACAAACCAAAATTAAAAATAACAACCTTCTCCCAAACTGGGTGGATTAAAATATTTGAGGGTAGGAAAGCAACCGTCAGTAAGCTGTCTCCCTTCAGCTCATAATGACCTGAGTGCCCTGGCTACTGAATATTCTGGGTCTTGGGAACCATGGGATCTCTGATCTAGGTTTCCTAACCTGACTCCCATGGCTGCAGCTCTGCAGGAAAACGGTGGGCATTCAAAAGTGACGGACTGCCCTGGAGTCCAAAGGCAGCTGGCGCTCTTGCACCTGAGGCATGCAAGATTCTAAAGTGACAGGTTCATCTTCAGAGGAAAACGATGTTTCATACGACTTTTTATTGTGTTTTTTAACGTGAAATTTGGTAATCTATATAGACTGTTGTCAAAATAGGACATTTATATAAATGGATAGATAGGAGTTGCAGGCAATTCAACTCCAAGTAGGAGCTAGGGGCTTGATCTATGAGTTCTGACAGGGTTGTTGTTGTTTTAAATCTTATTTGAGTCTTAAAACCATTTGAGAATATGATGAAAGCTAAGGGACTTACTCAAGAAAATACATATACCCACAAAATTTTGCACATAAATTTAAGGCTTCCCGAATCCCCTAAAACCCATCCAGGGGATGTGGATTAAGAACCTCGTAAGATTCCAAGGGAGAAGGGGTGGAAGCTTATTGCCATTCCATTTTTCCATTAAAATTTAGATCCAAATCAGAAGCTACTCCTGAGAACTTAATTCTTTTTCATTTTTTTGTGGTGGTTGTTGCTGTTATACAGAACCAAAGGCCAGAACAGATACCTCTAGTAGATTTTCTGTGCTTGGGGTTAGAGCATATTGCAAATACCTTAGAGGCAAAAGGAACGTGGCAGTGAGCACACAGAGAAAACACATTTGCTGGAAAACAGTGGTAATTATAAAGTAGGACACACAACTGCTGGGCATAAGCCTTGCCCTCTCCAAGTCGACCTGACTGTGCAGCAAATTTGGCCAACTTGCCAGAGAGGCAGCAACTGCTAGGCTTCCCCCTTAGCAAGAAAGCGCTAAATTCGTTTTCTGCCGAGCATCCGCAGCCAAGATCTCACCCCGAGATCGCCGAGGCCCTCCTTCGGTGGAGCAAACTCCCGGCAGCAAGGCCCAGCCCCGGGCGGGATCGTTCCAATCTACACACTTGGCCCGCACACCCCGCACACCCGGCTCCGGGAGAAGTGGCAGAGCCGCGCGGGAGACTGCAGCTCGGTCTGTGAGTATTCCTCGGGCAGCGGCGGGCGCACAGGGCCCGACGCCAGGCCCGGGTCATGGGGCGGGGGTCGCGGCGCGCCCCTGCCCCGCCCCTCGCGGGCGCCCCGCCGCGCGCTGCGGGCCTGCGTGTCCTCGCGCCGACCCCTCCCTCGCGCGCCTCGCCCGCGGCCGCTCCGGCGCACGCGCGCGGCCTCGCGCAGGGCGGGGAGAGGCGGCAGCCAGGGGCGCCCGGCCCCGAACCTGTCAGATCCGGGGAGCCGGGCTGCAGCTGCCGGCGCGGCGGGCGCCAGGACGGCCCAGCTCCCCGTCTGCCCCGGCCGAGCTGTGCGAGCCGGGCCGCCGAGCCGGCCGGCAGCGGGGAGATGAGCGGCGGCCCCGCGGCAGCGCCCCAGGTAGACGCGCCGCCCCCTCGCGGAGCCCGGGCGCCTCCGGGCCGGCCCTGCGCCCCCGCCGCCCGGGGCTTCGGAACTTGTGGGCAGTGTTGGGGCGCCTGTAATTTATAACGTGTTTCGTGTTCCCCAGGATGGGGAGGAACGCGCGGCAGTGTCTCCGGGAACTGGCGGCCCGGTGAAGTAGGAGCCGCCGGCAGCCCGCCTGCAGCCTGCCGTTCCGCGCCGCCTCTGCCATGGCCGGATCCGGCGCGTGGAAGCGCCTCAAATCTCTGCTGAGGAAGGATGATGCGCCGCTGTTCTTAAATGACACCAGCGCCTTTGACTTCTCGGACGAGGTGGGGAACGAGGGGCTTTCTCGGTTTAACAAACTTCGAGTCGTGGTGGCCGACGATGGTTCTGAAACCCCGGAAAGGCCTATTAACGGGGCGCACCCAGCCCTCCAGGCCGACGACGACTCCTTGCTGGACCAGGACCTGCCTTTGACCAACAGTCAGCTGAGTTTGAAGGTGGACCCCTGTGACAACTGCAGCAAACAGAGAGAGTTACTGAAGCAGAGAAAGGTGAAAACCAGATTGACCATTGCGGCCGTTCTTTACTTGCTTTTCATGATTGGAGAACTTGTAGGTGAGTTGTGTTGCCAACTCACTTTCCATTTAGCTTGCCTGGAGAGTCTTTGTCAAGCTTTTGTTACATATGATTTGAGGTTTAAACCTTCTTTTCAGGAAGCTTGCTATTTATCAAGATACTGATCTCATGATATGAAAAGGCCACATGGTTTCAAAGTGCAGATCAACCTAAGTCTAACATAAACTTCCAGAGATAACTTTGACTTCTTCTTCTAGTTCTCCAAACACTGTGTCATCTACCGTAAAGTTAAGGACATTATCATCATTGTATATCACGTAACTTCCTCTTTTTAAAAAAAGTCTGATAAAACACCAGGTTAATTTTTGCAACGTTTAAAATAGTCAATGATTCTAAAATTACTTAGAATCATAAAATTTTGCAGTATGAAGGGACCTTATTGAACACCTGCTCCACCTTCTTTTTCCCGCCTAAGGAATCTGAGGGCCCAAAGAGGTTAAGTAAGTTGTGAGGACCTTTAGGTGGTTAATGGAAGAGCCACATCTACATTTCCCAGTCTCTTGATTTTTTTTCTCTACATCTGATTTAAGTGGTCTTTTTATACTGTTTCTGTATTTATATCCAAGAGATTTGCGAAAGTAAATACTACCAACTAACCTGAAAGGTTTTCATTATAGGGAGGATCTGAAAGGAACCAGAGGGCTCCCCTAGGATTTATGACCTTGGTTTTATTTTTCATTTTTTAATTATTCAAGTAGAACATTCTCACTATAAAATACCTTCTTAGTTTAGAGATTAGTTTCAGAGTCACATTAGCGTAACTGCTAACTTCTCTTAGTTTACAAAGTGACATTAAAGCAGGGAGCTAGTCTCCCATGTTGTCTCCATGATGAGCCAGACGGGAACAGAGGTGGCAGTCTAGATCTAAGATGCTGGCTGGAGGTTAGATGTAGGAAGATTATGTACATTTCCTACCTCATTTTACACCACTCCTCCCCAGAACTCCCTTCAGCCATGCTGGCCTGCTTTCTCCCTACAACCCACAAAACTCTTTCCTGCCCGTATTCAAACTGGCTAGTCCCTCTACCTCAATGGCTTTCAAACTTTTTTGACCTCACAATAGCAAGAAAAACACTTAGCATTGTGACTCATGAAGGCATGCATGCATACATATGTATGTATGTACACACATATACACATATGTATGAATATATATATAACTGAAAGTTTCATTTCAGGTGATGTGTTCTAATATTTTTTCAGTTGTAGTCCCAGCCCACTTAATTGATTTCATGGTCCACAAATAGATCAGGGCCTGCAGTTTGAAAAGCACTGCTTTACATGGACTGCCTTTTTCCAAATCTCTTGACTGGTTTCTTGTCGTTCATGTCTCATCTCAAAAGATACCTCTGAGAGACCTTTTCTGACTGACTAAAGTAAACCCTCTTCTCCCCTGTTCCCGCCCCAACTTTAAAAGCCCTCAGCACTGAGATTATCTTGTTTGTGTATTTACTTGTTTAATATCTGTTTTCCTCCACTGAAATTTAATAAGCTGAATTTCCAGCACCTAGAATGATGACTGGCACAGAGTGGACACTCAATAAATTTTTATGGAGTTAATTTTCGTTGTGTTACAGACTTTTAAATGCTTAAGCTGTAAACAAATTAAAAGATGGGAGTAAAGCTGTGGCCAGGTAAGACATGGTCTCAGCATACTAAGAGTCAATGACTTGCCTAAATTCACACAGCTAGAATAGATAGTCATTCAGACTTTGTGATTCTTGCAGTTAATAATTAATATTTGAAGTAAAACTCACAATAATCACAATTTTCCCCCTTAAAATTAATTTAGAGTTTATTTCACCCAAGTAAAAATTATTAAATACAATTGTCCTGACTTACCATTTTTGAAGACTCTTACTTGGTAAATGTTGTTTTGTGAAAGCCACAATAAGTATTTCCTTTCTAATATGAAAATCTTTTGTTAAACAATACAGAGATGCTAGTACTTAGGATAGGCATTAACAGTATTATTCAGAATGTTCCATAGAATTAAACTGTATACAGTAGAGCATTTATTAAAGTGTGTCAAAAGCACCTAAAAATAAAGCGTCTTACGTAGGAAGTATAGAGTAATAAAAAAAATGAAGTAATTTAAAGATCTGAAAGAGGAAACTTGATTTTGAATTTTGGCTTTGCCACGAACTTGCTTTGAGACCTTATACAAGGTCCATTCTTTTTTTCCTTCTATTCAGCAAGTATTTTTTGAGTACTTACTATATGCCAAGCACTGTGCTACGTGTTCTGGATATACAATGGAGAACAAAACTATTATGACCCCTGATATCAGAAGCATTTAATCTAATGGAGGAAACAGATGTTAAATAAACATAAGAAAATTTAAAATTCAAATGGTCTTAAGTGCAGTGAAGAAAAAGGACAAGGTACTATAAGACAGAGTGACCAGTGAGACTAAGTTTATTTATGAACCAGGTAGAGTTAAACCAAAAAAAGATAGTAGGAGTTATTGAGCAAAGGAAGTGGAGGAGGAGTTTTCCAAGTGAAGAGAACAGCATGTACAAAGATTCTAAAACCTTTAGTTCTTTAAAAGGAACCAAAAAGAAGGCCAGTTTGGCTGGAATGTAGTAAGGAAGAGGGAAAGAGGCAGATCAGGCAGACCACATTATATGAGTGTAGTTTTTATTCTAAATATGATGGGAAGCAGTGAAGGCTTTTAAGCAGAGAGTGACATGATGGGCTTTACCATTTTCAAAGATTATGTTTTAAAAGATTGGCTCTTATGTGGACAATGAATTGGAGGGTGCAATAATGGAAGCAAGTAGAGGCTGACCCCGTAGCTGAGTGGTTAAGGTTCCATCCGCTCTGCTTTGGCTACCCAGGTTCACCACTTTGGATCCCGGGCACAGACCTACTCCACTCATCAGCTATGCTGTGGAGGCATCCCACATACAAAGTAGAGGAAGATTGTCACAGATGTTAGCTCAGGGCAAATCTTCCTCACCAAAAAAAAAAAAAGAATGGAAGCAAGTAAACTATTGCAGAGGTCCAGACAAGAAATGATTATGGCTTGGACTAGAGTGGATGGAGAAAAATATACTGATTGAGAAACATTCTAGACATAACATTGACAATATTGGTTAATGGTTGGAATGTGGGGGTTGAGCGGAGAGCAGTGTCAGGGGTGATTCTGAAATTTCTCACCTAAGCAGCTGAATGTATGGAAATGTACGTCATTTATGAAAAATAGCACGATTTAGGAATGGACTCAAGGGTTGTTTTAGACATCTTATACATATGTGAAATAGCCATGTAAAGATGTCTAGTGAGCTGTTACATATGAATCTGCAGTTCAAAAGAGAGGTCAAGGTAGAGAGAAATACAGTATGTAATGCTATAGGAATGGGAAAAATTTACCCAGAGAGCCCAAGTCTTGAGGATCTCCAACTTTAGAAGTCAGGCAGAAGGCAAACAGGTATCCCAGAATCCAAGAAAAGAGAGTATTTCAAAGTGGAAATAAATAAGTTGAGGCTGCAGAGAAGTTTAATAAGATGAGAACAAAAACATCCTTTGGATTTAGTAACATAGTTATTGATTCCTTTGACAACTGCATTTTTATTGGAAATGAAAAAGCTTGAAGAGTGAATGCAAACAGACTTCCAGGTAAAGATAGTAAATGAACTCATGCATCTAATTGTATTCTCTCCTGAGGCCTCTCTTAAACTAAAATAAAGGGATACATACATATATACACACCTACAATAAAGGGATATATATATATGTATATATTCTCATATATGTATGTATTCTTGTGTATATACACACTATATATATATGTATATACATACACACTGTAAGTAGATACTTATCCTATACTTACTACTATAAGGTACTTATACTGTAAGTAGATACTTATAGTGTGTATGTATATATTTATAGTCTTCCTCCACACAGATGGGAAAACTGGAGAGGAGATAATAGCACAACAAACTTGGAAAACTAGAAAGGAAACAGATATAAGCGGTAACTGACCCGAGAAAGCCAACTCCTAAGCAAGCAGTGGGGAATGCCAGGAACCAACCCAGGTTACACGAATGGATCAGAAACACCTAGAGAACTTACTAAAACACAAATTTCTGGGCCAGAGTTTCTAATTAAGTAGGTCTGGGATACAGCCTGAGAATTGGATTTCTAACAAGTTCCAAGGAGTTGTAGATACTGCTGATCTGGGGGTTACAATTGAGAACTACTGTACTAGAGAATCCTAAGTAGGCCCAGAATTGGTCCTACCAGGTATCCTTAGAAGTATGAGTAAAGAGGAAGGCTAAAATAAGGAAATCTAGTTAAGACGGTTTTAAGAGCCAGTCAGATATAATAGTATAATAATATAATTGGTATCCACAGAGATAAGAGAAGATCATTTATCCATGAAACAAAAACAGGCTGCTTTAAAAAATAAATTCAAGGTATATAAAAGAGCTTTTGAACAAGAAAAACATTAAAAAATTTCTTTAAACTTGATAGAAGATGAATTAGGTAATCTCTCACAGACTAGACAAAAGGATAGAAATGTAAAATAGGAGAAAAAAGGCAATAAAATTAGTATGTCAGTTCAAACTCCAAATAATAGTTTAGGGAATAGAGAAAGCAGAAGGAAAGAAATCATCAACAACATAGTTTAAGAAATTTCCCCAGAACTGAAAGCTATACACTTACAGGTTAAGAGAGTCAACAAAAGCCTAGAAAGTTGCGTGAAAGTAAATCCACACCAAGGTACATCATTGTAAAATTTCAGAACACAGGGAACACATTGTTATCTATTTCCCCAGGTAGCTGCAGTGTTAAACAATTACCTATGATTGTTTTTGACAAACTCTTCCTGGGGTTGCACAGGGTGGAGCTCCAAGTCAAGTCAAATAAAAACAGCTTTGCAAGTATTTTCTTCCAGGGAACCACCAGACAGGTCAAATAATGACAATTCTCTGGGAATGGAGCTTTTAAAGAGTTCCAACCCCAGCCAGTCTGTCCCTAGGGCTGCCAGACTGAGGTTCTCATTGTGATTGCTGCATGTTGGTTTTCAAGGCTACTGCTGAGCTGGAGAGGGGGAGATGGTTATAAGCCAAGTTAAAGTGCCACAGAGCTCATTGTTCTTACCAAGATTCAACTGTTTTCCTCAAAAAAATGCTACCTTTATCAGCCTCCGATTAATTTCCAGAGTTCCAAAAAACCTGATTTAAACAGTTTTTGGCTGTGTTCTCATTGCTTTTATGGAGGACATGATTTTCAGAGGTCCTTACTCTGCTATTTTCGCTGATCCTGTGGCTCTTTAAATTTAGTTAATTAAAATAACAAAATTCCTCCTTTGCACTAGCCATATTTCAAATGCTCAAAGCCACAGTGTGACTAGTGGCTACTTGATTGGATAGTGCGGATAGAACATTTCCATCATCTCAGAAAGTTCTATCAGACAGTGTGGCTTTAAGATATTATCCTCATTTATAGATGAGTAAACTGAGGCTCAAAAATGTTTGGTAACTTGCTCAGAGTCCCAAGATTCCAAAGCCCCACGTTATTAACCACCAAGCTGCATTTTCTCTCAGTGATTTCCAGCTTTTTTATGTCAGGGAATACATAAAAATGATGTTTCTATAGAGCACACTGGAATAAATGGATGTGACTGCAAGATCACCAGACGCAGTTCTGCTGCTGCTCTTGGCTCTGCACACCCATCCCAGGAATGGGGGATCAAGAGCTCAGCACACTTATGTATCACAATCCCGTGATCATGAAGTTCTGCTCTACATTATAACAGTGATTCTCAGAGTGTGATTCCAAGACCAGAAACATCAGCATCACCCAGGAACACGTTAAAAATGTAAATTCTCAGACCCCATCCAGACCTACTGACTTAAGAAATTCTGGGAGTGGGGTCAAGCAATCTGTAGTTTAATAAACCTTCCAGGTGATTGTGATACACATAAAAGTTTGAATTCTCTGGAGCCAGCCCTGATGGCCTAGCGGTTAAAGTTTGGCATGCTCAGCTTTGGGGGCTGAGTTCGGTGCCCCCAGCACAGAACCACACCCCTCGTCTGTCAGTAGCCGCGCTGTATCGGCAGCTCACATAGAAGAACCAGAAGAACTTACAACTATATACTGGGGCTTTGAGGGGGGAAAGAAGAAAAAAGGAGGAAGATTGGTAAACCCTCCCCCCAAAAAAAGCTTGAATACTCTGAATTGTGTTATAAAAAGCTTATTCAATGAATGATGCTAGGAAAATTGGTTGTATAATGGAACAATACACACACATATGAAATGTGTTTTATATATGTTATATATATGTGTGTGAAATATATCTATATATATATATGAAAGTCAATATAAAAAATTGTATTCTAAATACTACCTTTTATCCCTCTATTGGGAAACATTGCTATCTATATCCAAATGAAAAAGTTAATTTTTATCTTTTGTTTTGAGCTAAGTTACATTTTATGAGTTTCTTCAGTTTTATATTCAAATCCTCTCAAACAAGTGAATACCTACGTTTTCTTCAGCTTTATTGTAATATTTAGATAGTGTGGTTATTAATTTCACTGTCTAATAGTAGATTTAGGAGGTTGAGTAAAAGCTGCAGTACTAACACCTAAAATTTCTCCTTATGTGTTAGTCCCTCATTTAGTTGTTCTTAACTTTCTTAAGGTCATTGACTCCTCAGAGAATCTATCATAGAAACGGACATTCTCACCAGAAAAATATACACATATTTAGGGTTTTGCATAAAATTTCAGGATACCTTGATTTAATTGTAATACAATAAAGATTTAGTTAGAAGTTCATGTTTTGTAGGATGTTACATATTTTTGGTTTGATTGTTTGCATTTTTGTTTTCATTAAGTTATTTCTTCTTTCCTCTCACCCCTACCCTAAGGTGGATACATTGCAAATAGCCTAGCAATTATGACTGATGCACTCCATATGTTAACTGACCTAAGTGCCATCATACTGACCCTGCTTGCTTTGTGGCTGTCTTCAAAATCACCAACCAAAAGGTTCACCTTTGGATTTCATCGCTTAGGTAAGTAATTGGGAGTTTCTTTCAGTTTATAAAATTTTATAGTAGAACTACAATGAACTATAACCTTTGATTAACTGAAATCTTCCTGGTGATAGCCTGTTTGAACAAAGCAAATGAAAATAGATGAACAAGGTTTATTCAGATACTTATCTTCCAGGGTACATTCAGGCCAGTCAGCTAACCAGTTTGCACACATAAAATTTTATGGTAATCATTAATCTTCAGATGTTGTTCCCTATGTCTTTTTGAAGACTTTATCAGAAAAAAGTTTACCTTCAGCTTATTGAACCAAGCAAAATCACATGGGTTTAATTTGCTAATGAGCATTAGCTTCTTTCTTTAGGTATTCCACCCAAACCTACAGTAGCCCAGATTTTAAGCGTTCCTATAATATGTATAATATATACAGTGTCGCTCACCTTCATTGTGGCCATTGTATCAACATAATTCTGTAAATGCTGACAAAGATTCTTTGCTTGACCAAACTTTAGTCAGTCTCCTGAACCTTCTCCCAATCCTGTGTGTGCGTTTCCTTATAAAATCTAGTTTTAACAAGAACTCTGCTAAGCCAATTGAACAGAACCCCTTCTCTCAGTATCTGATGGGTTATCCCCCAGCTGATGTTTCATCACCCTGACCTATCTTCAGCGAGAATTCTGTTAGGTCACTTTAGCCAGAATCGCCCTTACCTTGATGTTTCCTCTTAGTAGTTTTCCATCACTGACCCCCACCCTGCTCCTCATCTATAAATTCCCACTTGCCTATACAGTATTCAGAGGTGAACCCAATCTCTATCTCCCACTGGAAAATTCCATTGCAGTAGTCTCCATACCTACCTTGATAGCTTCGTCCCCTTGAATAAAGTCTTCTTTGCCGTGTTTTAACATGTCACTGATTTTTTTTCTTTAACAATATTTTTATTTTCCTATTTTAAACAAATATTAATATTTAATTGAGAGGTTAAGATCATACGTTATCCACAGAACTCTGCTTCTTGGTGTGTTATTGTTTTTAAATTTTTTACGTATTTTTAAAATATCTATAAAACAGTGGCTTGAACTATTTTATGAAGTGCCATGTGATCAGCTGTCATTTGCTTAGAACCCAAAAGTTGACATTTAGGCAGCTTCAGCAAAACCTGTCTTAACCAGAATTAACATCTTGTTTTGTTTTGTAGAGACACTGACATTCTTGGCTAATATATCAATTAGTTTCTCCCCTTCTTTGTTACTTTTTAGCCTAATCTTAACTCAGCATCTAGGTCTTCCAAAATTTAGTCACTGGATCTTCTAGTGTAAAACTTGACATTGTACCTGAATGGCTGGCTATATTCCAAGTAGCTATCCAGGTCATCAGGTTGGGAAACTATCTTGCCTCCCCACCCCTCAGCACTCTTGGCTGCTACACAAGAAAACTAAAGCCTGAAGTGAGGTTTTTTCTATTATTTGTTAAGCCACTGCATAGTACATTTGGATGTGTTCCTGAAAGAAACTCCACTGCTTTACAACTTATTATACATTCATTTGTTTACTGATTGCCTTGGGGTTCTTTAAACCACTTCCAAATTGTTTTCAAACTTTAATTTTTTGTGATTTAAACACCTGCAGTTTAAGATCTAAAGCTCAAACGTAGCATCATGGAATGGAGATTTTACCTTCTTACACTGTTTGAAAGAGTGCGTTTCATTGAGTCCTGTGGTTCTTAATCTCCTTTAGGTTGTAGGCCCGTTTGAACTCTAATAAAAACAGTGGAACTCTCCCTCCAGAAACGTGAAAGAACAGAACATATAAAGTCCTACATATAAGTTAAGAACCCATAATCATGAAAATCCTGTTAAATATTGAACAAGTCTTAGTATTTATCTAGATGGGTTCTTTGTTTCTTCATAAATATCAAGCGCTGTGAAAAGGTGAGAGAATATAGAACTGACTGGTCCTATTGGGTCTCTGGAAGTTTCTGTAGAAAGTCAGATCTCTCGCTTTCCTTAAAGGTACTAAGTTCAAGATATCTAAGCCTAGATATCAGCATTTGACGCCTGTCTCTCCTGAGAATCCATTGAAATGAAAAGTACCAAATCAGCAAAGGGAAACAATAGGTCACCAATAAACAAAAAATTTTTAGAAATTTCTGGAAGTTGGAAAGTAGATGGGAGTGGGTTGAAGGAAGAAACAAGCCAAGATGCTGCAACCTGGAGTACACTGAGCTAGGAACTGGATCCGCCCAACAGATCTCCAAAGAAGACTCAGGGACAGAGATGAGCAGAAGTGAGAATTGGCGCTAAAAACAAGGAAAATTAATTGAGTGACTATAAATGGGAAACTGCTCCCACTAGTCCACTATGCCTCTACCTTCCTCCCACCCCACCTCCACTCAGGCAGCCTGCATTTTCCTCCATGTAAAACACCAGATAGTTCTTCCAGAAAGAAATTGAACGAAACGTTTAGGGAAAGCTGAGGCTTCCAGTCTGGGTGTTGATGCTCCAAAATAAGTCTTCTTTATACAAGAATTCAGGGTTCTGCAGCCTTATGGCTTGGTCCTCCACCTACTCACCCTAAATAATGCACATGTCCTCATCTGCCCTGCCCTACACCCCTTATACACCAGCCATTTTAACTAGTTTATGGCGTATCCTTCTGGCATTTCCTTTTTGCCAAGGACAGTTTCCCTGTCCTTCTGCCCTAAATGTGAACAGACAACCAAGGATCTTTCAGCAAATTAGGAAAACCAGCAGCATGAAAGAAAATGACCAAAACTAAACTAACAGAAAAATTAGTCCTAGAGGAAAAAAGAGATGACTTAAGGAACAAAAGAAAATGCTTTAAATTATCTTATTAACATATTCAGAATAATGAAATGGTAAAATATTTTTTAAAAGAAAATTACAAGAAAAAGCTCTTTGAAATTGAAATATTCCTGAAGTTAAAAAAATTTTTTTTCAATAGAAGGACTAGAGAATATAATCAAGAAAATCTCCCAGGACATAGAATAAAAAGATAAAAACATGAGGAAAAAGTTAAAAACTATAAAAGAATAATCTAGGAGGTCCAAAGTTGTACTATTAAGACCCTCAGGGGGGCCAGCCTGGTGATACAGCAGTTAAGTGCGCGCGTTCTGATTCAGCAGCCTGGGATTCACCGGTTTGGATCCCGGGTGTGGACATGGCACCGCTTGGCAAGCCATGCTGTGGTAGGCGTCCCACATATAAAGTAGAGGAAGATGGGCACGGATGTTAGCTCAGGGCCAGTCTTCGTCAGCAAAAAGAGGAGGATTGCCAGCAAATGTTAGCTCAGGGCTAATCTTCCTCAAAAAAAAAAGACCCTCAGAAAAAGAGAACTTAAAAAATAAAAGGGAATGACTGCTTAATGGGGATGGGGTTTCTTTTGGGGGTGATGAGCATGTTGGAATTAGAGAGTGGTGGTTGTTGCACAACCTCATGCATATACCTAAAGCCACTGAATTGTACATTTTAAAATTGTTAAAATGGTGAATTTTATGTTATATGGATTTTACCAAAGTTTTTAAAAGTCATCCAAAAAATAAAAGGAAGAGAATTGTTAAGATATAGATAGATGAGTATTTTCTAGAGCTAAGGAGGGGATCAAGCCTTCATACTAGACAGGCCTTTGGCGATCTTCTTTTTCTTCTTTTGTATTCAAAAATCTTGTTAGGATATCTCTAGATATAGAACTTATTTCACTTATTCTGCTCTTTGAAGCAATAGTGGAAATAATGTACGAAAAACTTATGGTGACTTGGGGAGGATTGTAAAGACAATAAAGATATGTAGAATTGAATAGAGCTATAAACCAAAGCGGTGGCTGTCCTTGTGTTCCACAAAATACCACTGCTTCATGAGTAATCTCTCAAAGTTCTGTGGGGGGAAGTATGTTTACATTGGACACATTTAAATAGTATAGCTCTTGTGACTTCTAATACTGAGACTTAGGGATTCAGGTCCTAGAGAACATTGCAGAAGGAATCCCCCTAAGAAACTTCTGGTTTGTTACTGTTGTTGAATTTTGTTTTGTTTTGATGGCATATGGAGTGGGATGGGGGTTGGTTTTTTCTTTGTTGATTTATTTTTTAAATATGTAAAACATAGGCTGCAGAAGTAAAAAATATATATATATTTTTTAAAAGAAATGATTTACTCAGAGAAGTCTTGCTGTCATTCTCTCCCCTCCAACCCATCCTCCCTCCCACTCCCTATTAGTAACCATTTTAATTAGGTTCTGGACTATCCTTCCAGCATTTCCTTTTGAAAATATAAGCAAATACATTTATATGTTCATGTCTGGCTCCCTGCTATCCTTTCTTCTGCCAACGGCAGCATAGTGTACACCTGGTTCTAAACCTGGAGGGGTGTGTCTGTGAATGATAGTCAGACATTAGTATCATTCCCTAAATTTATTTCCTTTTTGTGTTCTCATAACACTTTATACATACCTAATACCATTTATCACATTTCTATAGCTATTTTCATGAAACTCTGTCTCATTCTAGACCATGAATTAGGTAGGGACAGGAACAGATAATATTAAAATCTATGTGTCTGGACTAATAAGTGCTGTATAAGAGACTGTTAATCGAATTGTTGCATATTCATGCTGAGTAAATAAGGATATGAAATCTGTGATAATTTAATATAGCTCATGATCTCCAAGTCATTTGTGTTTGGGGTAAATTAAACCAATTACCAAATTGGGAGTAAGGGTATTTTTGAAATTTTGGGACTAAATATTTGAATCTTGAAAACATTTATCTCTGTTCTGAAACTGTGATCATGTTCACAGTCTAGACTATAAAAATTTATTTGATCCATAACATAGCAGGCAGTACAGCCTGACTGATAGGTCCTTTGGGTGCAGAAAGCAATTAGTCAGAAGGGAGTTTCTTCTTCCTTCTCTCTGTCGGGCTGGTCCTATTTGTTTGTTTTGGTACTTACTACTTTAGTTTTAGGTTCAGATCTGAGATCGGCAGTTTTCCTAGCTATATGACCTTTTGAAGAGTGATTTAATCCCTCTAAGTACAAGTTTCTTCTGTAAAACAGGGATGTTAATACTTGTATTGCAGAATTGTAAAAAATACATGAGGTAAGGTGGTAAGGTACAAGTACCTAACACGGTCTCTGGCACAGGGGAAGTTCCCAGTAAAAGTTAGTTCAGGTCTTCTTTTCCTTCCCTCTTCTACCTGCCAGTATATCATCTTACCTGGACTTCTCATAGCTCTCAAAATGGTCCATGCTCCAGAACTGCCTACCTTCCCTTCTCCCGCAGGCAGATTCTTACTCTCTCAGCATAACTCTCTCAGCCAGGTAGTAGGGGAAGGTAAGATGATTCACCCTGATGATTAAATGACAGTTTCTAAAGATGTGCTTTTTAACTCAGGTCTTTGGTAACATTTTTGTCAATATAACAAGATTTGTTTTAGCAAAAATCATTCAGTCAAGGTAAGAGAAGGGTGGTTTTAGATTTGAGGAGTGAGCCGAGATGGCTGTCCCAGGGGTCAGGTCTATTCTCTTAGTACTTTCCTTTCCTCCGTGGGAACTCACGAATTGTGTAAAATCATTCAGGTTTTTCTTTTCCTTTTCTTTCTTTCTTCATTGCTTTACAGTGAGCTATAATGGCAGCTCTTTTGTGGGAAAAGGGAAAGCAGGGTAGGAACCATATGTGAGTTATTTTTAAATGCCTGGATATATTTGACTATGGGTATGGCATCTTATTCTGGAAGTTAATAAAATTTAGAGCTTAATGAAACCACACTGTAGGAGGACACCCACAAATCCTGGAGGGCACCCACAAATCCTGGAGGACGCCCACAAATCCCAGACAAAAGGGATGTGCTGCCCCATCCCCCTGCTTACTCCCTACTTTTATCCTTCTCTGTGGATTATGAGCATAACTGACTTTATTTATATGGCTTTTCTTCCAGTTCTTGGGCTGAAGAGGCTGCATGGATTAGATACAGATAGTGATCATGTGAAAGGACTGTACTAAGCAGAGTTGTCTGTGTTTGAAATAAAAAGCAAGATGTACACTTCAGTAATGCAAACCATCAGCCTAGGTTAGTGGCAAAGCGACAGTGCAGGAGTCTTTCGTAGCAGTGTGTAGTTCTACTGAGCCAAGACCTTGGCAGATCTGGCTAGATGATGGTTGTCCTGAGGTAGGTATATGGTTATAATGCTAATTCTATGTAGTTTGTTATTTTATCCCCTGATGCTAAAGGAGCACAAAGTATTCAGCTAAAAAAGTCTCTTCCCCCATACATGCAGCTCAAAAAAATCTCTTCTCCCTAGTTAATGATTCATTTTAACAACTTCCTCCCACCCCTGACAAGAGTTATACCTATTAATTATTCACATCTTAGTGAGAATTAATTCATATCACATGAACATCTATAGGAAAAGAATAGGTAGTTCCTAGAAATGGGAGTTTTTACTGAGGCAGAAGGAAGACATGAGAAGGTGGTCAAAGACGGATAGCCAAAAGTCAGCTTGAGGGTACTGGGCACCTTGGGTATGGGGTAGGGGAATGGTAAGAAGGCAGGAAATAGGAGATTATACAATAGGAGGTGAGAGGATCCAAGACAAACTTTGCAGTTTAGCTTGGCATTCTGGTGGCAACAGTGGGCCACTGAAAATCCTATATGATGTCTTTTTTTTTTTGAGGTAACATTGGTTTAGAACACACAGATTTCAGGTGTACATCATTATATTTTGATTTCTGTGTAGACTACATCATGTTCACCCCCCAAAGACTAATTACATCCATCACTGTACACATGTGCCCTGTCACCCTCCTCCCTCCCCCTTACCTCTGGTAAGCACCAATCTAATTTCTGTATCTATGTCTTTTGTTGTTTTTATCTTCTACTTATAAGTGAGATCATATGCTATTTAGCATTCTCCGTCTGACTGACTTCACTTAGCATAATACCCTCAACGACCATCCATGTTGTCACAAATGGCAAGGTTTCATCTTTTTTTTTCTTCTTCTCCAAAATGCCCTCCAGTACATAGTTATATATTCTAGTTATAGGTCCTTCTAGTTCTGCTATGTGGGATGCCAACTCATCCTGGTTTGGTGAACGGTGCTAGGTCTGCGCCCAGGAAACAAACCGGTGAAACCCTGGGCCGCCAAAGCAGAGTGTGCAAACTTAACTACTTGGCCATGGGGCCGGCCCTCACCTTTTTTTTTTAATAGCTGAGTACTATTCCATTGTGTATATATACCACATCTTCTTTATCCCTTCTTCCTTTGGTGGGCACTTAGATTGTTTCCAAGTCTTGGCTATTGTGAATAAAGCTGCAGTGAACATAGGGGTGCATATATCTTTACACATTCATGTTTTCATGTTCTTTGGATAAACACCCAGCAGTGGAATACCTGGACCATATGGTAGTTCTATTCTTAGTTTTTTTAGGAGTCTCCAGACTGTTTTCCAAAGTGGCTGCACCCGTTTATATTCCCACCAGCACTGTATGAAAGTTTCATTTTCTCCACATCCTCTCCAAATCTTGTTATTTCTTTTTTTTTTTTTTTTTTAAAGATTTTATTTTTTCCTTTTTCTCCCCAAAGCCCCCCGGTACATAGTTGTGTATTCTTCGTTGTGGGTTCTTCTAGTTGTGGCATGTGGGACGCTGCCTCAGCGTGGTCTGATGAGCAGTGCCATGTCCACGCCCAGGATTCGAACCAACGAAACACTGGGCCGCCTGCAGCGGAGCGCGCGAACTTAACCACTCGGCCACGGGGCCAGCCCCTACAAATCTTGTTATTTCTTGTCTTCTTAATTATAGCCATTCTGACCAGCATGAAGTGATATCTCATTGTAGTTTTGATTTGCATTTCCCTAATAATTAGTGATGTTGAACATATTTTCATGTGCCTGTTGGCCATCTGTATAACTTCTTTGGAAAAAATGTCTGTTCAGATCTTTTGCCCATTTTTTAATTGGGTGGTTAGATTTTTTGTTGAGATGTATGCGTTCTTTGTATATTTTGGATATTAACCCCTTATCAGATATATGGTTTGCAAAGATCTTTTTCCAATTGTTACGTTGTCTTTTCATTTTGTTGATGGTTTTCTTTGCTGTGCAGAAGCTTTTTAGTTTGACGTAGTCCCATTTGTTTATTTTCTCCTTTGTATGATGTCTTTAGCCTGAGTATAGTAGGGTTGTCTGTGGCTGAGTTGAAATACAAATACTGGTTTGGAAGTCCTAGGAACATCGAGTACAGCCCACTGATTTTCTTTCTGTTTCTTTCCTAACTTTTATTGGAAGAAGGTGGAAAAGAGGAATAGCATGAAAGGAAGTAGAAGAGAGAATGTATCTCCACTCTCCTTCCGTGTTCATTTTTATAGACCTCTGAAACCTGACTTTAGATGTTTGCTATCTAATTCTTTGAGGCAATAGAAAGACAAGTGTTATATAATTTAAGGGAAATATACTCATTATTGGCATCATAGCATTAGCAAAGTTAACAGTTATGATAGGCCAGTACGTCTAGGCAGCACTCATGAAAAGCAAGTATACTCGGGTTGAGTGTGGTTTACATAGTTGAAGCAAATTGCTGCTCATTCACTGAATAGGTGCTCAATAGTTACCTGTTCAATGAATGAATAATAGTGTAGAGTGGGGAGACAGGCAGTAAATATGTATACAGGCACAACATAATCATAAACTGTATTAAATGCTACAAAAAGAAAGAATAAGGTACTATGATGGAGGATAAAGAAGGGCAGAGAAAGACTCAGTGTTTTTCATATGAACCCTGAAAACCTCTAGTTTTGGCAATTTATAGATGTGTTAAAATGTGCTGTAAACATTTTTCATATTATATAGTGCTATCTTTTTCATTTTTCTCCCAAAGCCCCCCAGTACATAGTTATGTATTTTCAGTTGTGGGTCCTTCTAGTTGTGGCATGTGGGATGCCACCTCAGCATGGCTTGATGAGCAGTGCCATGTCTGCACCCAGGATTCGAACTGGCAAAACCCTGGGCCACCGAAGCAGAGCGTGCAAACTTAACCACTCGACCGCAGGGCCAGCCCTCTATGTGCTATCAAAACTTGATAACATCTATGTTTTATCCCTTTTAATTTTTTTTCTTACCATTTATTAGCCATTCAGACCAAAACTGTTTATTACCTGTTTGTGAAATTCAGGGTATGTTTTGGTCTTTATTAGATCATTGACCATAAACATTTGTTTATATTTTAGCTGAATGAAAAGACCCAAGTGGTGTTAGAACAAAAACACGTATTCACTCATCTTGCTCCCTCCTCTAATGCTACAGTTCAGCCAGGTGGAGTGATTTAGTTATTTGTGTGTAGAGTAGCAATATGTTAGAACTACTATCATAATAGGTTTTCTAGAATTTCCATAAAAGTCTCATTCAAGAGTTTTTCATTTTGCTAAATTTCCATTTAGTCAAGTTTATCTAAAGCTAATGGGGTAGTAACCCTCACAGAAATCTAGAGTTTCAATTGTGAAAGTTCCTGGGTCTCCTTTAGAAAATGAAAAATCCATGTTATACACTCCTTTTGTCCCGAAAACCTTTATTGTATGTTAGTATGTGACTGGAGACCAACCCAGAGTATGAAGGAGAAGACTGGAGCAAATCATAATTTGGTGTTGATTGAAAGCTTCCCTCCCTCTTAAACATCTGGGGAAAAAACATCTTGCCTATGTTTATCTGCATTCCATCATGTTAAAAACGCTATGAGAAAAAATTTGAAACACCAATTAGTCCTATTCGTGATATTTCACCAAAGTTTAATTTATTCACAATGAAAGAGCTTTTTGTTCTTTTTGTCAGATTAAATGATGTTATTACTATAAGGATTTTTAGCTGTAGAGTATTATCTGTGCCTTATACTTTTCAATCATAAATCTCAGCCCTAAAAGTCTACTTAAAATTTTGGGGATTTTTTTCTTTTGCATTTATCAGTATTCTGTTGAGAAGAAATTTTGACAAGTGATTAAAATAAAAAATAACAGATGAATGTCTTTGCTTTTCACCAAGGGAACCAGATATGAGGCATACTCCTTATTAATTGCTAGAAAAGGGGTATCATTGATAGCTGTGTCCTAATATGTCATTTTGGGAATTTCTAGCAATCAGCTGAATTCTATTACTATTAGCTGTGGGCAGGCATTGGGGTCCCTTCTGTGCTACTCACGTGGGTGAAAACTGTGGCGTGGAAAACCAAGTTCCCAGCTGCAGTCCTCAGGGGCCTGGCGGCCTTCCAAGGGTGGGAATCCTCCCTGCCAAGCAACTCTGTTCATGCTTTACTGACTTTCATTTTATTTTATTTTGAATGTGATTTTGCCTTATGTAAGAGTTCACAAAAAGGTAATTTTAAGTGTTTAGGAAAATTATCATGGGATGTGGGGTTGCCACATTTAGCACACACATACACACACACTCTTACATGGTGCCCAATATGTCTGAAATATTGCATGGGACATATACTGAAAAATTATTTGTGGGGCCGGTCCCGTGGCAGAGCAGTTAAGTTTGCGTGCTCTGCTTCGGCGGCCCAGGGCTTGCCACTTCAGATCCTGGGTGTGGACCTGTGCACTGCTTGGCAAGCCATGCTGTGGCAGGTGTCCCATTATAAAGTAGAGGAAGATGGGCACAGATGTTAGCTCAGGGCCAATCTTCCTCAGCAAAAAGAGGAAGATTGGCGGTGGATGTTAGCTCAGGGCTAATCTCCCTCAAAAAATATATATATATTATTTGTCGTTTATCTGAAATGCAAATTGAACTGAGCATCCAGTATTTTACCTGGCAGATTTACAAGGTAACTGTATAATTTATCATCCAAACCAGGACACTTTTGAGAGTGAAATGGGGCACTTTTAATAACTATGCTAGGACAACAGGCATAAATTGGGACGATCCTAGGAAAACTAGAAAGTGTGGTCAACCTAATTATAGGTGGGTTTGAAAGAATTTTTAATTATTGGTTTTAGACTTTTATAAGCAATAACATGTCATTAACTTGTATAGCTATGAATCTTTATAAATGGAAAGTGTATTGCTTCATAATTCATATTAAAAATTTGACTAAGGCATCTTAAAACTATGGTGGTCTAATTGCCAGCTTCAACCTTGACACATGATTAAAGTTCTTTGTTTTTTTGGAAGAGTTTGAGAAGGATTGGTACTTTTTTTTTCTTTTTTTGAGGAAGATTAGCCCTGAGCTAACATCTGCTGCCAATCCTCCTCTTTTTGCTGAGGAAGATTGGCCCTGAGCTAACATCCATACCCATCATCCTCTATTTATATGTGGGACGCCTACCACAGCATGGCTTGCCAAGCAGTGCCATGTCCACACCCAGGATCTGAACCAGCAAACCCCAGGCCACTGAACCGGAACGTGCGCACTTAACTGCTGCACCACCAGCCGACCCCTGGATTGGTACTTTTTAAATACCAATTTTAAAGAGCATTAAAGTTCTCTCTCTTTGTGAGTAAAAGGAGGAAGCTACCACTAGTACATGAGATTTTACAGTTTAAATATTTTTAATTATTTCTTCTTTCTTTAGATTATTTGTATGCGTGTATTATACCCTCAGCCAGCCCTGGGGGTCTAGTGGTTAAGATTCTGCGCTCTCATCACCACGGCCTGGATTTGTTTCCCTGTCAGGGAACCACACCACCCATCTGTCATCTGTCACTTGTCATTTTGTGGTGGCTTTGAGTTGCTCTGATGCTGAAAGCTTTGCCACCCGATATTTCAGATACCAGCAGGGTCACCCATGATGGACAGGTTTCAATGGAGCTTCCAGATTAGGAAGAAGGACCTGGCCACCCACTTCCGAAAAAATTGGTCATGAAAATCCTGTGAATAGCAGAGAATTGTCTGATAAATTCAAGATAAGAAGATGGTGCAAAAAGACCAGTCCAGGTTCCTCTCCTGTATACAGGGTCACTAAGAGTCAGAATCTATTCGACGGCACTGACAACAGTAAATTTTACCATCAGCAGTTATAACTTAAGAAATTCCATGTATTTTCTGTCTTGTATTTGGCTTAATTCTTCTCTTTTAGCCTATTTACTTCTTGTTTTTTGGGATTTACTAAATAACCTATTATTCACATTGAACTTATTCTTCTAAATTGTATACCTTTTATCTTCTCTTGCTCAACCTAACTTCATCCTACAAATTCATCCATAAATATCTGAGTAACTGCCACATGTCAGTCACTCTGCTGAGTGCTACAGGAATGTGACATGAAATGAGACTTGCTCATATCCTCAAGGAGCTTAGAGTCCACTGAGTATCTCCACCGCCTTGTACGTTTCAGTTGGTCTTGTCTCTGTCTTCTTCAGCCCTCTGTCTCTTTGGAGGTATGAGGATTAGTATGTTAGGTGTACTGTGGTTTTGAATAGGAATTGTATGTTTTTGTCTTATTCCAGCATTTCTTCTTTTGATGCACAGAATTTTGTTGGAGTTTTGGCTACATTAATGAGATGTCTTCAGGAAACAGCTTATAACTGCTAGATAATTTTTCTGTGTTGTAGTTTATGAGTTGGAATAAAAATGTGTCAAAGTCCAACATACTTGAACTGTCTGAAACCTTTGAGCAATGAGTTGACCTGGATAACAGTTTTCCAGATTGTTTTACCTTTCAACACTTAACAGGATTAATGTCTGGTTTCTCTAAAAGAAAAATTTTCTTTGAAAGTATTTTCTTGCTTTTATTGTTTTGAGTGTCAACATTTGTTTAATATAATAATGTTAGTTAATTATTTAAAAATATACTTCACATTGCCCTATTTTTTATTTTGCAAAGATATAAAATTATTTCTACTTTATCACATGTAGAAAATTTATATAATATAAAAGCAAAATAGTGCAGAGTCTTCCCTGTCCTAGCCACACATTCTCCTCACCCATTCTCCTCATAAGCAGTTTTGTATCAGTATTTTGTAAATCCTTCAAAGGTTGCGTGACAGATTATTATTTACATAATTTTTTTTTAAATTTTCACACAAATGGTAACATACCATACACACTGTTGTGTACTTTGTTTTTTTCACCTAACACCATATCTTGGAAATTATTCCTATCAGAATATAAAGAGCCTGACTCCCTTTTTTTTAAACAGCTGCATAGTATCCATGTTACAAGGCCCCTACTAATCACTTTTTTCATTGTTTCCAGTTGTTTGCTATTATATACAATGCTTGATGAATAGCTTCATAACATACCTCATTTAGCACACGTGCAACTCAATTGACATGAGTATGTCTATTACTAGGAGAGGAATTCCTAGGTCAAAGTGCATTCATAAATACTTGCATGCCTTAAAAAATGTGTTTGTTTTTCTTTAGCCTAAAGGTAATATGTGTTTGTGGTAGAAACGTAAAACATTTCAAATACTATTGAAAAAATGAAAGTGAAAAATAAATTCCCCAAGCTCCTAGTCCCACTTCCCAGATATAGCACTATGTTTCTTGAGATTATCAATTTGCACGATTTTTGTTTTTCTTTTTTCTTTTTTTATATAAATGGCCATGTGGTATTCTCTTATAGGTATATATCATAATTTACTCATTAAGTTCCTCATTGGTAGACGTTTAAGATGTCTCCAGATTTTTGTTGATACCACAGACAAAGCTATGGTGAAAAACCTTGTAGATACCTTTGCGTACATATGGATGTTCTTCTAACAGATAGATGCTAAAGTCCAGGAATATATGCATTTTAAATTTTGATTAGTTTTACTAATCGCTCTCTAAAAAGATAGTTCCTTTTGCTACTTCCACCAGTATATCCTTGCTCTGGCTATTATCAAACTTTTTAATCTTTGCCAATTTAGTAAAGGACAAAAAAGAATCTTATTCTTATTTAAATTTTTTATATTATGATTGATTTTGATAAATTGGCCATTTCTGTTTATTTTCTGTATATTACTATTTCTAAGTTTTTTACCCATTTTTCCTATGGGTTCTATATGTTATTGATTTGTAAGTGTACTCTTCTATTAGGAAATTAGTCTGCGGTCATGTATCTTACAAATATTTCTTCTTAGTTTTTCACTTTTCCCATGTGTATGGTCTGTAAATATACATAATTCCACCCTAAAAAGATGCGGGGGAGGAGGGAGTGGTGGGAGCGAATTAATGGAGGATCCAAAGCAAACTGCTAAGTACTTTTTAAATAAGAAAAATAACATGACAAAAATGATATAGTGCTTTTAGCTCCTTAGAGGAGAGAAGATATAAGATTGTACAATATTTAGTTTGTATGAAGTCTAATAACCATGCTCTAATATATTTGTTTTTTATATTTCTCCCTCCAGAGGTTTTGTCGGCTATGATTAGTGTGCTCTTGGTGTATATACTTATGGGATTCCTCCTATATGAAGCTGTCCAAAGGACTATCCATATGAAATATGAAATAAATGGAGATATAATGCTCATTACTGCAGCTATTGGGGTTGCAGTTAACATAATGTAAGCTCTGCCTTTTAAAAAAATTTAGTTGGCTTTACTTTTTAGAGCAGTTTTAGGTTCACAGCAAAATTGAGCAGACCGTACAGAGATTTTCCGTATACGCTCTTCCCCCACACATGCATAGCCTCCCCCGTTATCAACATCTCTCAGCAGAGTGGTACATTTGTTACAACTGATGAACCCACATTGATAAAGCATTATCACAGAGTCCAGAGTTTACGTTAGGGTTCACCCTTGGTATTGTACATTCTGTGGGTTTGGACAAATTTATAATGACATATATCCACCTATATAGTGTCATACACTCTATATCGTTTTCACAATATTTTCAATTACTGTGAATTTAGATACATGCATTCAGTAATGTGCAATGATATTTTTATATATTTTTAAATTATATAGTACATTAATTTTTCTTATAAATGTTAATAAAACACTGTTGGAATTATAAATTCCTCATTAGTTTGCTCAGGTATACTGAAGTTTGACTAACAATCAGGAATTTAAGTAGGACAGTTTTTTTTTTTAATTTAACTTTTATAATACTTTTATGTTAACTAGATTTTTTTTTTCCTTAAGATTTTATTTTTCCTTTTTCTCCTCAAAGCCCCCCGGTACATAGTTGTGTATTTTTAGTTGTGGGTCCTTCTAGTTGTGGCATGTGGGACACTGCCTCAGCAAGGCTTAACAAGCAGTGCCATGTCTGTACCCAGGATCCAAACTGGCAAAACCCTGGGCTGCCGAAGCAGAGCGTGTGAACTTAAGCACTCTGCCACTGGGCGGGCCCCAAGATTTTTTTTTTTTTAAAGATTGGCACCTGAGCTAACATCTGCTGCCAGTCTTCTTTTTTTCCCTTCTTCTTCTCCCCAAAGGCCCCCAGTACATAGTTGTATATTCTAGCTGTGAGTGCCTCTGGCTGTGCTATGTGGGATGCCACCTCAGCATGGTTTGATGAGCGGTGCCATGTCCGCGCCCAGGATCTAAACTGGTGAAACCCTGGGCGAAACTCTGCACCAAAGCAGAGTGCACAAACTTAAACACTCAGCCATGGGGCGGCCCCCCCAATTTTTTTTTAACTACCAATGTTTTTTCCTAAAAACTACCAAATTTTTAAGTTATATACTTAATCATTTGGATCAGGGGTCAGCAAACTTATTCTGTAAAGGGCCAGATAGTAAATATTTTAGACTTTGAGAGTCACACAATGTCTTTTGCAGCTACTCAATTCTGCTATTATAGAACAAAAGTAGCCATGTTCAGTGTATAAACAAATGAGTATGGCTGTGTTCCAATAAAACTTTATTTACAAAATCAGGCAGTGGGCCAAATACAGTCTACAGATGGTGGTTTGCCAATCCCTGCCCAGTGGCTTCCATTCATGCTTAGAATAAAATCAAAAATCCTTACCATGGCCTTTTTAATAAGATCCTGTGACCTCTCCAACTCATCTCCTAGCACTCTCGCTCATTTTATTCTAGCCACAATGGCTGTCTTGCTTTTTTTTTTAAGCATATAGAGCACATTTTCATCTCAGGGCCTTTGCCCTGGTATCCTTTTTGCCTAGAACACTCTTCTACCACCACTTGTTTCCTGACTTCTTTCAAGCCTCTGCTCAGGTGGAATCCGAGAGAGACTTTCTCTCACCACTTTCCCCATCACTCTCCATCCCCTTGCAATGCTTTACTTTTCTTCAAAGCATTTGCATTGCCTGGCAGTACATTATGTATTGATTTGTTTATTTCTCTGCCTTCCCTACTAGAACATAAGCTCTGTGAGGGTAGGGACATGTCTGTCTTATTCACTGTTTTGACTCCAGCGTCTAGAACAGTACCAGATACATAATAGGTGCTGAAATATTTATTAAATGAATGAGTTCCATGTTGCCTCAATAGTGTCTGATTAGTAACAGATATTTTTGTCAATAACATTAGGAAGAATAATAATGTTTTATTTTATTTTTAACAGAATGGGATTTCTGTTGAACCAGTCTGGTCACCATCACGCCCATTCCCACTCCCTGCCTTCAGATTCTCCTACCGTAGGTCCTGGGTGTGGACACAACAATGGGCAGGATAGCCTGGCGGTGAGAGCTGCTTTTGTGCATGCCTTGGGGGATTTGGTACAGAGCGTTGGTGTGCTAATAGCTGCGTACATCATACGATTCAAGGTAATATGATTGTTCATTTTTCTATTTTAACATACATTTAATTTCAACATTAAAACTAATGGTGATTGTCTTTTATCAGTATCCTGTACACCAAAGCCAGTCCTATTCATTTGCATTGATGCAGGCTTAATTGAGCCATCAGTCTATCTCTTTCACGGGCACAGAAGAAAAGAGTATCACCTCATGGGGTAACTTCTCTGTACTTGGCTTTGGTGGTGCCTTCACTGGAGAACTCAGTTTTAAGCCTTGTCACTGAACTGCTTGGTACTGGAATGCACACTTGACTAGAAATCCAGAGATAGGGTTCTAGCCTTGGTTCTGCCATTAAAATGCCTTGACCTTGAGCAAGTCCCTCAGTTCTAAACTTGAGTTTCCTCCTCTTTCATATGAGGGGCTTAGACCAGATAGATGGCTGCTAAAACTCCTTCCAGCTCTGATTGCCTGTGGTTCTGGGTGGAAGATTTAGAGACGGCACAGAGGAAAACAAGAGAACAGATGATTAAACTTCTAGAAATAGGTCCTACAAGGAAGGGCATTTAAACAGTCTAACAAAGAGTGAAGACATTTCTCACTTGCAATATCCAAGATCCAGTCCTGCTAAAGAAAGCTACAGAACAGGAGAAAGAGTATGCTGTGCTTTCCTTTACAGTCTGTTTTATGTCTGTCTATGTTTAATCACACAATTTTGATCTGTCACCTTTCAGCCAGAATACAAGATTGCCGATCCCATCTGTACATATGTATTTTCATTACTTGTGGCTTTTACAACATTTCGCATCATATGGGACACAGTAGTTATAATACTGGAAGGTAAGATCTCACTAACATCCCCATTGTGGGCTTATTACTTCCCTAAATCAGACTGGGGGTTAGGGAGACACTCAAGGGTAGGAGCCATGTCTTTTCCTTTCTTTTTACTGATACTTATCAGGCTGTGGTAACACCACCTTACGTGCATCTGACATATAGGAATCAATGCACTCTCCCTGTTACCTGTGGGATCCTTATAATAGCTAAGAAAAGGAGGTTAAGGCAGACGTTATCCCCATTTACCAAGAAGAAAATTGAGGTTGAGAGGGGTAACATACCTTGATTAAGGTCACTCTGCTAATAAACTGTGGAGCTAGGACAAGAATGCAACTCTGATTCTTAATGCAGTTGTGTTTAGTCGTTTATTAATTCCTTAATTTCCTTTTAACTTGCTACTTTATTGTATTTTCAACATCCCTGCCTTACTGATATTATGTATAAGTGTGTAAATATAAGTTCTCAATAGTAGTTTATCATCAGTAGATGTTCCTTTCTTTTCTTCTTTTTCTTTTTTTTGTCTATCCTAGCTGATTTGTTAAATGAAGTATTCTGGTTTGCTTGACATTCCTTTTTAGTAAGAATGAACATTTTTTTAAGTGTTTATTAACCTCTTGTATATATCCTGCTATATGTGTGTGCATGGTTTATCTTAAAGTATTAATATATTTTAAAGTGTTTGTTTAAACTGAATTTGGTAAAGCCATTTGGTTTCTTTGAAAAAAAGTCCTATCAGTAATGTGTAACTTTTTTCCCAAAGTAAACTTTATTTATAAGTGATATATTCTGAACTAATAGGTGTACCAAGCCATTTGAATGTAGACTATATCAAAGAATCCCTGATGAAAATAGAAGATGTATATTCAGTGGAAGATTTAAATATCTGGTCTCTCACTTCAGGAAAACCTACTGCCATAGTACATATACAGCTAAGTATGTTGCTGATGGGAAATACTGGGGTTGGTGTACTTCTATCTTTGGAATCTGTGCTTATAATTAAGTAGGAAGACTTTTCTGCTGAAAGATTTGTTTTAAGGGAGGGGTGAGGCTCTTAAAAAGGTGAATTGCTGGTCAATATTGCTAGCAGAGCAGTAATTTTTTATCTCTTTGATTTTTTGATCAGATTCATTTTTGCCTTCAGATTAAAGGCATTAATATATTTACCATGTTTTTCCTACATAAGAAAAGCTAGACTCCGTTTTTATTTCTTTAAATCATTTCACAGACTGATGCTTTTTATTTTTTTAATCAAAATAATACATGCATGTGATTTTTTTTAAAAGTGCAAAAGATGAAATACTTGTAACTGATGTCTTGTATTCTTTCTCTACCTGACAGTGGACTAGTGAGATTGGAATAATGAGAAGCCATTCTGGCTTTGTAGACTGACATACTTCTCTAACAGAATAGCTTCAAGAGAATAGAAGTCAAACTAACATAACTATGTTGACGTCATATTAAGGTTGTTTTTTCCCTGTGTCTTACTCACTAATGTGTAACTCTATGCGATGAATAGTAACGATATTTTCTTGACATTGCAGTTCCTGGAAGTTCATCTAAATGGGAGGAAGTGCAGTCCAAAGCAAAGCATTTATTATTGCACACGTTCGGCATGTATAAATGTACTATTCAGCTTCAGAGTTACAGGCAAGAAGGGGACAGAACTTGTGCAAATTGTCAGAGTTCCAGCACCTAATTTGATATGTTTTGGGGACTACTGCCTTATTCTCCTGCAGTCACAGACCTGAGAGCAATAAATGCACAACTAATGAGAAAATGGGATCCCTGACAGCTGTGTCCATATCAAGCACCAGGCTCGCCGAAACGGTCACTCCAGCCTGACAGTGCTAGTTTCTCTTTAATGGTAAACTGAGACTTCACCATGATTTTCAGATGAAGACGTTTCCAAAACACTGTTTACAGAATGAGACGTGACTCTACAGATACCTCATAGAAGACAATCCGAGACCGTACGTCATTAGTTATGACAGAGTACCTATCCTAGAGGAAGCATCAAGAATTCAGTATTTGCATTTAAAAATCCTTTTTAAAGACCACTTTATATCAAGCCAGTGCTGGAAAACTGAATTTTTTTTTTTATTATTATCTAATCTTGACACCCAGCCACCCAGCTTCTGGAATTTGACACCCAGCTCTCTGTTTTTACAGAAATTATTTCTCAACAGATTTCAGAAAGTACTAGTAATTATCCAGAGAGTGGAATAAGCATGTATTCCTAAGTGTTTCAGAGATGTTTTATTTCACAAATAAGTCTTAATGTTATTGTTATAGTTAATACTTTATAAACAACTTTTTCCAGATGTTACAGGGTTTTGAATCTCAAAGTTAGCATTTTTGGTTATTTGCAATCTTATCAAACCAGATCTTTACATATTGTGGTCACTGTCATTATTTAGGAAATATTTTAAGTATTATTCTGAATGGCAGAAATTAATCTTAAACGCAAATTACTATATGATAATTTAAAACAAAATATAGAAGCAAGGATGGGGTGTGGCCTTTCAAATTTAAGTCTTCTTGAAATCGCTTTTACTGTTCATGGAATTATCTTCACTTAAGAACAGCAAGAGACTGCAAATGTAAACAGTGGTCCTCTGTCTTTCTAAGAACTGCCTTACATTTTGTACAGAAAGTTCGCTAGGGACGTTGCTTCCCACCTCCATGCCACTTAATCTGTGTGGGCTTTTTCAGGGTGAAACTCTGGAGGGCCAAGTTTCAGTTTGCAATCCCCACCTCTCACGTGTAGATTAACCACGTTCCTCCAGAGAGAATTTCTGTTTGATGATATGGGTTTGGGATGCTCCATGGATTCCAGAAACTCTTAAGATATCATTTTGAGGTTTTCCAATAATACCATAGCAGAAATGCTCAAAGGGATTGAGGGAAGAGACTCCTCTGAGAAAACAAAACTTTCAAGGGTTTTGACCTTGTGTGTGTGTGTTTAAAGCACTGGAATAGGGATGGTCATTACATCTGTGTGGGTGAGAGGCTAAGCAAAAGTTTCCAAACCAAAGGCAGCCTAGTTGGTACAGTTGTGTTAGAGAGGCAGCTGTGAATATTCATGTTTCATTTTGCAACTGTTGGTGTTAGATTACCTTTATGCACATTAGGAGTCCGTTTTCAACAGAGACAGTTTCTTATACCAAGAATGGATATAGTTCTAGAGCAGAGTAACAGACGTCAGCGCAATGTACCAGACAAGTTGTGAAATTGAAATCCTAGATAGGCATGCAGGTGACTTATAAATGAAGAATAGGAAACAGATTTTCATCTTTCTGCCATGTTCCTCACTATACATAAACCTAAGATAAAACCTGGATTTACCTAAAAGATTGTTAAGAGTTGATGGTATCCAGTAAAGGGTTGATAAGGGTTAACGGTACCTAATAAAACCCAGTAAGTGTTTTTTGAATTGAAAATTTTGCTTTATGGGATTCTTATTGTGAATCTACTTACAATAATGATTTGAATTTTTCAAAAATTTTAGGAGCATATAAACTGTTTAAGTCAAAATATTCTTGAATAGAGAAGGCAAGTAAGAATAAACGAGAGGGATTTCAGTGGGCATCTGGGCATTTATGGACTTTGGGTACCTAGCGAAAGAAAGAATGTGCATTATATGCTAATGGTTTTCCCATATTTGCAGTTTCCTGTATCTGCTGAGCTTGTTTCTTGTAAACCTTCCTTTATCTTAAACAGGTGTATCTGACTTTTCTTATTAAATCCATTCAAGAATTGAAAAGGATCCTTTTGTAAAATGCAGAAACACTGAAAATTTTTGTAAATCTTAATTATCATGTTCTGCTTAAAATGAGAGGTACACATGAAGTTTCCTGTGCTTTGGTTTTTTTGTAGGAAGAACTACAGATTTTGTATTTGTATTTTACTGGGTCTGTGAGATTTGAGAACTGATAGATTTAACTTTTTGGAACTTGACAATACCCACAGAGAAGGACGTGAACGTAGCAGATACGACCAGGGACCGCACAGCTTCTGACACAGAGCGTTTGGTCGGCTTCACCCGCTGAGCTACACCCTCGAGTTACACTCCTCAGCCAGCTCTCCGGGAAAGAGCTCTCCATCGTCCTGTGGAAAGCTGTGGCTGAGTTTGGATAGGCACCTCGCATTGTTAATTTTGCACTGGGAAAACAGATCACAACGTAAAAACTGGGCAGTTCTTCAGTGCAATGTGTTTTAATTAACATTTGCAAATAATCAAGAGTTACTTGTGTACATAAACCTATATTTCACAACTCTGGCCAGGTGCAGCCTTCTGATTTATTTTAGGAAAAGACCTATTGTTTCATTAATGACCATGCTGCCTTAGAAATATAATGTGGGGGATGTAGTTCGATAAGGCATATTTTAGAGGGCTTTGAAATGCAGAACTAGAAGCGACTGGATTCCTGCATACAGTTCCATTAGCTGTGCCTTGTGTAACGTGAGCCCAGATCTTCACAACCTGCAGCTCCCATCAGTATTGTTTGCCAAATCACTGGATTTCTTATTTTACTGTTTCCTCTTCAACTTTGGATGATTCATTTCCATTTTCTAAAACCAAGTTTCCTGCTGTTAGGAGTCTCAGTGTTCTGGCTCTGTCTCTGGAACCCAGGTGTCCTCACTGACAGTGTTTGCCTTTAGTAGACTTCTCCCAGAATAGACACAAGCAGGATCAGATATGTGAGCTTCCCTGTCATTTTAATGTGAGGAAAAACCATCTTTCAGAGACAAAGCACCACTTATAAATGTGTTTCTAGGTGGGGAAGAGCCTTTTTTTAACAGCTGGTGGTTCCCGCTCCAGAGTTCTCTACTCACTGAACTTTAGAGTTTAAGTGTGGTCGAAATGGACTGCCCTGCGCACCCACAAGAGAAGATCTTCGCTCAGAAGACTGGGTCGTGTTTCCTCAAACCACCACTGTCACTACTTCAGGAGAGAGAATCATTCATTTCCAAAACAAGCACAATTAGCTAAATTTATTTTCTTTTTATGCATTTATATTAATTGGTTCCCCATAACGAATAAGGCATTCTTACAGAATTTGAGCCCCTTTGGAATATGGTTTTAGGCAATTTTGCTGTTGACTATACCTTACACAGAGTAAATTTAAAGTTACAGAATGTGTTCCTAGATATAAGATTGGTTCATTTGGTTCAGTTTGTCTTTGAACCAAGCTTAGTTCATGAGCCAGTTGGGTATTAGTCACAAATGAATAGTGACACCTTGCTATATGCTGTGTTGAGGGGAGGCAAGTCTGATCTCCAAATAATTGATGAAGCTTAATATCTCTCTAACCAAAATACCATTTGCAAACCCTAACTACAGATCTGTTATGTGCATCCCACCAGACAGGGCTTCAGATGTCCTTTACAGATTGCCAGTCAGGGATATTGGTTGTGATGTTGTAGGAGCGTGCAAACTGGAGAGAAGAAATCGCTGTGGGAGTTCCGCTGTATTGAATTGTGTGGGTGCATTCAGGCCAGCGTGTCATTGAATTCTCACTTACCAAGGGTTTAATCTGTTCTTCTAATCATGTGGTGAGGACCAACAAACATTTTCTGATTTTTGGTAAGATTGGAAAACATTTATGAAGGCTTTCTCAGTTAAATCTATGACAGTGTCAATTTAAATATTGCAATTAAGTATGTTCTGAAATAACTGTAACACAGAATTGGAATGTGCCAGTATGTCAGCTTTGCACCCGGAAGATACTGTATATTTGGAAAGCTTATGCTTCTCTAAATAAACAGATGTTAATAAGTAAGCCATATCACAGTTTAAGAAATTGTATATACTTTTCCATGTGCCCCTTGAGAAACCAGGTATTTTGCATATGATTGATTTTAGAAAGATTTTGAAGTTATGGTTTGTCCATGTAATTTAAGATTATAGCATATGTATATGTACTGTATTTGCAATTTTCAAATTGTAATTTCCTATACATTTATTAAATAAAGTATTGTTTTGCCATGTGGTTTATTAAATGAAAATGTACAGTCCCTTAAATTAAATTTCTGGTTTTTTTAAATTGACTAAGTAATAGTAGTAGGCCTTAGAACATAATCATCTCAAAAAGAAAAGCATTGGAGGGGCTGGCCCAGTGGCACTGCGGTTAAGTTTGAATGTTCTGCTTCAGCGGCCTGGGGTTCACCAGTTCAGATCCCAGGTGCGGACCTATTGCACTGCTTGTCAAGCCATGTTGTGGCAGGTGCCCCACACATAAAGTAGGGACAGATGGGCACAGATGTTAGCTCAGGGCCAATCTTCCTCAGCAAAAAGAGGAGGATTGGTGGCAAATGTTAGCTCAGGGCTAATCTTCCTCAAAAAAAAAAAAAAAATGAAAAAGAGAAAAGCATTGGAAAATAGATTATAACCTATCTAGTTTTAAAATCTCAGATTGTAATGCCCTCTTAGGTGTTTAAGAAATAAACCTGAAAAAAATCGTCCAGATAGGATAAAAAGAGATATTAAAAGAACCTTTATCTTTTTAAACCAGGTACTTTTAATGTCCCTACAGCCCCAGCAACAATGGCAGAAAGGAAAGAAAGCAGCCCCCGGGAGAGCAAGATTGGTGGGGACCGTGGTGAAGTCAGAATAATGACCTGACCAGTCTCCAATAGGGTGGACCAGGGGTCAGCAAACTTCACCTCACTGGCCGCACCCGGCCTGCAGCCTGTTCTGTGTGACCCAAAGAGCTGAGAAGGGTTTTTACATTTTTAAATGTTTAAAAAAAAATCAGAATAATGATAACATTTCATGATGTGAAAATTATGTGAACTTTAAATTTCAGTGTCCATAAATAGTTACCTGAACCCAGCCACGCCCATTCCATCATGGCTGCTATCACGTGGCAGTGACAGAGCTGCGTGTTTGCAACAAATATAAAATATTTACTATCTGTCCCTTCATAGGAAAAGTTTGCCGACCCCTGGTGTGCACTGCTGTACCACTTTAGGCTGTAACAGAAGATATGGACGCAGCAAGCCCCTCAAGAGCCGCCTGGAAGTTTCTGTGGGGTCAGTCTGAGGGCTACCTGAGTCTTTTCCTCCTTTCCAGAGGTCCTTTCCTCCCTCTACGTGTTTCCTTTTCTTTCTCCCCCTTGGGGAGCAAGATTTCAAACATCATCTATGTGCCATATGATCTCACGTTCATTAGCAAGGCAGTTTTCTACCAGGGTCCCCTGGATCAGTCAAGAATGCTTTTCAACGTAAAGCTCACTCACTTGACTTCTGAATTTTTCACTTAAGTTATGACAAAAAATAAAGGAAATAAAAATGTATGTATGTTGAGTACCTTATGTAGTTTGTGCCAACTGGCAGCTCACAAATAAGAAATCACATTTTATTTGCTAAATAAGGTGATAATTGGTTATCAGGCTTTTAAAATAATATGTTCTTTAAAGTTTTCCAGTTACCTAGGAAAAGACTCAACTATTTTTGAAAAATAGTTTTAATACAGTAATAGATAAGTAATACAGTAATTAAAGAGATGTTATATATTATTTGTCTACCTAGCTATATTTCTATTTTGAAATATCACTTTTTTGGTCCATATCAGATGCTAAAATAAATTCTAATTTGGGGTAATAGCTTACAAGCTCCAGCTTATGCTAAACTTTCAGCTTTATTTAATATATTAGCAGAATAACATTTTTTGATTATAATTCAACTCCAACTATGATCTATTATAATTTTTTTTTTTTTTTTGAGGAAGATTAGCCCTGAGCTAACTGCTGCCAATCCTCCTCTTTTTTGCTGAGGAAGCCTGGCCCTGAGCTAACATCCATGCCCATCTTCCTCCACTTTATACTTGGGACGCCTACCACAGCATGGCGTGCCAAGCGGTGCCATGTCTGCATCCGGGATCTGAACCAGCAAACCCCAGGCCACTGAGAAGTGGAACCTGCGAACTTAACCGCTGCACCACTGGGCCAGCCCCTATTATAATTATTATAAGTTATAAAATAGACTAAGCACAGAGAGGAAGTATGAAGCCTCATGACTAAATATTATCTCTACGGAATCATGTGTTTAAGATTAGGAGGTTTAAAAATCCAGCCTCGGTGAACTATCACTAAAGATCTCATCGCTGTCAAGCAGCATTCTGCTTTAAGGCTCTCATGTGACCTTTACAGAACAGGAACTGTAAAGTTTGGCCTATGGGTATTACCCAACAGACACAAAGATTATACTTTGCAAGTTACCAAATAGCTTCCACGTCTCCTGTCCTGGATTTTTCAAAAACTTGTTCTGGTTTGATTTTCAAATCCCTATTGTCTGTGTTTCACTTGCCAGTGTCTGCATATTGGTTTGTGGGGTGATTTTTTTTTTTTAACACTTTTGTTCACTTTAACAAAATGCTGACACTATGGAAAAAATGCGCATGGGTTGGTTTTTCTCCAAAGTATATTGAGCAATTTCTTTGTAAGACAATAGGATTTTTCTTACATAGGAAATTTTTAGAGACCTCATGAAAGCAAAAGGCCAACCCCAGAGCAAGACAGACCGCCTCCTGACTTGCCTAGTACTGAAGATCTGACGTCACCCTCCTCCATCATCTTTCCCTCACTCTCTTTTCAGAGGAAACCCGCTAACAGGGTAAATGGTTACAGGAATGTTTGCCCCTGAACAGTGGTTGCAGCAAATGTTTGGCCTCAGGGCAGGAAGAAGAACTGGGGTGAAGATGAGTTTCCTGGGCTTCTGTTAATTAGTCTGTCACATTCACCCGTGGAGGCTCCAGGGAAAACCCTGGTTCCCACAGGCTCTTAGTTACAGCATGCCTGAGTTTCAGTATTATTAGAACACAAGCCTATTCCATCCTCTCTTTGCTTTTTGTGTAAGAATATTTTCCAAAGTCCAGGATATTTTTAAAACCCCTCAAAAAGTATTACAGAATTTACAATGGTTTAACCATTCATATATATTTGGTTTTAGAACAATGATATTGATAACTGAAATACCATGACACCATGCTATTGAAATTGGGACATCTCAAAAAGTTGGTTCGATTGGTTGGAAATGGTTTTTTTCTGAAGTGGATTGAGACTACTTCCAGATGCCAAGAATTGCTCCTTGAACACCGCCTCCCTGCCACTGAACATATTATGGAATAGAACACAAAATTCCTATATATTTTTTAAATTAAATAGGAAACGAAACAATATTATGTTTTTGGAGAGCATCTTGGGCCACACCCTCACCCCCACAGATAGAAAATCACCATCCCATTAGGGATGGCTTGAGAACCTGGACTGCAGGATAAAGTCCGTGCTCTTGGTGCTGACACACAAAATCCTCTGATCGGGTGACTTTACTCCTCCACCCACCTCTCCATCCTCTCCTCCTCCGCCGTCCTACCTCCCGTGCATCAGCCATACCAAGCTACAGCCAACTTTTGGTTAACAGAGGAAATAATAATTGCTAACATTTATTGAGCCCTTACTGCATCTCACACACTGTGCTGTGCACTTTATATATTTAATCCTCATGATGGTACCTGGAAGATTATAATCTTCATTTTGCAAATGAAGAAACTGAGACCAGGGAAGTTTAAGCAACTTGCCCAAAGTCTTAGACGTAGAGTCGTACTGCAGGAATAGAAGGTCACAGGCAACTCTTAACTATAGTTACGACTAGTAAATATATAATACAAAAGGGATGCAATGTAGGCTACTGTAGTTAAAATCACAGCCAAGCTTTAGATAATAGGTGTAGAAAAGTAATGTAAGTGTAATAGTTTAGGAGCTCAACTTTATGTAACTACGCACAAGCTTGGTAAAATGTAGCCAAAAGTTTGCTCTGTTTCTTAACTGAGTTCTTGTTCTTTGAGGCACCAGAATGGCACTAAATCAGGTCTCTGCATGTTCCCCTCACTCGCCCTTTATCTCTTCATTCCTCAGCCCTCACACCCATGCCTGGGAGGGGTCAGATCCAAGCCGCAGGGGCTGGACTCCTCCTGGCCTTCCCTCTGTAGTGAGCCACTGCTTTGCAGTCAGGACAGAGCACTTCCCTGTCCACCCCCAGTCTTGTTTGTGAGGGGAAGGGGCCATTCCATGTTACAGTCAATGTACCACGGCACCTACTGGGCACAGCAGTCCCCCAAATCTTAAGTCAAGGTGTGCATGGTTTGGGGAAACAGAGGGAAGGCTAAAGCCAGGAGAAGGGGCTGTGCCCACCACTGCACCATCACCAAGCCAGGGTGCAGACAAAGAACAGCTCAGAAATGCTGCATAGAGAATGTGAACTCATGGGAAACAAAACAAAAACACGAGCCTCCACTAATTCATAGAAATTTCCAGGAAAGCATTGAACTTCCCACAAGTCATGGAATTATGGGTTAGAGCTGATCTCATCGCGGCTGGGAGTGGGGAGGATCTAGCTGATATCTGGGTTAGTTGCTAGGTCGTTCCAACCCAAATAGATGCTTTCAGTGTGAGCTCACGCAGAGGCCGGCACTCAGAGCACGCTGCCCGGGTTTCTGGCCCGGCTCTCCCTCACTCACAGTGACATCTGGGGGAAAGTTACCGACTTTCTCTGTGCCTCAGTTTCTCCATCTGCAAAATGTGGATGATGATTGTGATGAGGATTTTTAGGCTGGTTAGTTTTAAAACTACAGATGAGATTCAAGCTCCAAGGAGTGGAATTTGTTTACCCCTTTGTTGGGAAATATTTACATTTCTAAGGGAAACCTCTGTCTGTGAAGAAGCCTCCCTCTCTGTGCCAGGAAGAAGGGGGGATGGTCTTATCTCTAGAAGCTCTTAATCAATGCCAGAGGCAAGATCTTAAGTTGGTTACTGTCTGGCAACCTCATGTAACTGAACCCCCCCCCCCCCCCCACAAATCCTCCTTTGTCTTTAGCCGAGGATAAAATTCAAGCGGTGACTTCTGCCATTTACTCCATCCGGTTTGATTCTTATCTAAAAGTTGTGGGACCGCCAAATGGCCAGACCGTATGGGCACTGATACCATTTTAACTTTTTTACATA